GTTCCCGGAACCTTGCCCCGAACCCTGGTTCCCGGAACCGGTTCTCGGAACCCTGGTTCCCGGAACCGGCGAAACGAGGCGGCAGGGTCGAGCAGTGCCCCGGAGCACCCCGAAGGCTATGTGGGCTGAGACCCCAAAGCATTCTGCTGTTGGGGAATAACAAAGTGGTTGATCAAAGTTGAGGTTTGGCAGGATGGTCCAAGCAATTGTTTTTCTATCGTAGCCAAACCATCAGTTGGTTAATCTATGTTAATCTTATCCAAAAACAATGCCTGGAACCAACTCAACCACGGGTATGAACCTTCTCGGTGGCCGCCTCAACCTAAAATCGGCTGGGCCGCTGGAGATGAAGAAATTTTCATGGAGATCTAAGATGGGGTCCAAATGATAGGAACAAAACAACATTTCAAAAGAAACAAGGCTTAGAAAGTAATTTGCCAGCAGTTTTGATGGCAATTTCGAAGTATGCCCTCCCTGGACAAAGCCAGATGGAAAGATATGAAAATCATTGAAAATCTGGTATTTCACCACCAAAAAATATAGGTAAGGGATCGAACCGAAAAAAGGCTGGGGACACATTCATGGACATTCAGGGACGGTGATGGTATAGCAGCGAGTTGCCCAAAATGGGGCAAACCAATCCATTTCTAACCTTAGATACCCTCCAAAAACTATAGTAACTATAATTCTGTTTCAGCCGGGTTGTATATTCCTCCATTTACCACATAAAAATTCAGCCATAAACCCAGAGGGTTAGGGGATCTGATCCCATCCCGTGCCTACACTCAATCACTCAGGGCGCCAAACGTCAAAAGGCATGCGCCGGAATCACCTCAGGAGGGCATGTTGGGCAAGCAGTTTGCAAGCCATTTTTCATCATGTCTATGTTTCTTCCACAATGAGGCTTGAACAATGAAAATTAGGTACCATGTGTGTATCATCATTTTCCGCCTAAGTATTCTAAGCCATGTCCATGTGTCAAGTCTATCTGGCTAAATTGTAATATTTCACTATTTCACCAACCTGAATTAAGGCCATTTGGGGATGATTTCCCATAGATTCTACCATGATTCCAGGGTTCGGTCGCAGTGAGGTCGTTATCCAATCTATACCTCCCAGGATCCAGACCCATCCACATGGTTTGATGTGGTCTGTGCTGTCGGATCCAAAAAAATCATGATGTAATTCCGTTTGCTTTCCAGGTTTTGTGGATTTGCATGGATTTGCTTGTTACCATGGTCGTGGAGTTGCTTTTTTAACTTCTAAACTACTTGTTCTTTGATCAGCTGTATGGGACTTGAGAAAGCTGCGGAACTAGCAGCGATGCAGCGTCCCAACGTTGGACAAAATAGGCTTCATTGGATGCATGTTGCTTCATGTCATGTCGGTTTTACCTGAGAGCAAGCAGCTTTGCGGGAAGAAATGTGTGGGTCCGGGTCAAAAGCCTGGTACTACTCTGGGTTTCAAAATCTCGGGTACATAGAGATCTTAGATGTTCATCCCCGCATTCATCCCATTCATACGGGAAACTCATAGGTGGCATGACCCACATCGACCGAATTCTGGGGATTTCTGGGGTATCACTTTGATGCCACTGGCTCCAAGATTCACGTCGGACAGCATCCTGCTATAACTGGTTCGTACCGAAAATTGGGGGTACCCCCAAACCATTGGTTTTCCTTTTCTGGATTTTTGGGTCCCCCCATTTTAAGAACCCCTTCATTGATCTCTTAAGTGCAGCAAACTAGCCCCCAGATCCACCAGCTTTTCAGTACTAAACGCTGCAGTTCTCTCCGATCGATGGTGAGACCTGTCCAATCGTCGGCTTCAGGCATCAGAGAGATCCACCAGGTCTTGTAGCTTCGTTTGGCTCCATGATGGGACGATGGGACTGGGACTCGGCAACAAAAAACATGGTGCCCCATGGGTTTCTTAGACCTGGATGGTCTCCGACCCCATCTCACAGTCTATGACTGGATGCAAGATTCCATAGTGCTAGGTGCTGCCCAAAAGCAACACTCGACCAAACAGAATTGTCATTGACGAAGGAAAGATATTCTGATATACCCTGAATGTTGATCCTGTTTTGCGACAAAACTGAGTATGTTGCATGCATATGTACGTGTAGTTACATATATATATATATACAGATTATATACATCATATAATACACAAAAACGAGACAGCTTTGCAGTTGTTGAAGTGGAAGAATCAGAAAGTTTGCACCGCGTGGGTTACCCATCAAACAGGGTGGAAGATCATTGATCCCAACATGTTACAGGATGGATTCTTGATTCTTGATGTCTCAAAAAAAAACTGGAAACCGATGTGGTGTTTCATACATACCTTGCCTTCAAGCTGATTGGATTGAGAAGTCCAACGAAGGGATTGTGTGGGCAGCGCCAGCAGAACGAGCGCGGAGCCCTTCAAGAGCAGTGTGAACCTCTTCCAACCATCAACATGATGCAAAGTGACAGAAGCTCGGGTGGTAGTAAGACTGTGAGAAAAATGCCAATCGGATCCAATCAGCACAAAGATGTCATTTCAGAGAAATCTTCCTGCATAAGCGCTTCCAGTACGTATATACTGGCTTCATCTTGGTTCCTTGCACACAGATCGGGAATGCTCTTTGGATGGATCCAGTATTTTCACTAGGCAATTTGTTTGATGGATAGTTGCTGGGACACATGTGGTGAAAACATATGTTTTTTTCTATGTTGCGACCCCTAGCCAATGAAAGCTCCTATTCTTGGGATGCGCAGGGGCTTCACCAGGTCTCTCTCAAATCGTAGAGTCTCATCAAATCAAGGCACCCTTCAATAGAAGAACGCTTCGTCTTAGGCTTGAAGACTTATGGCCACAGACATTTCATGATTTTCATGGGTGATACCCTCATACATTTTACATGAAGGGTATGTACTCGGTGCGTACTAAGGACCCATTTGTCAGGGCCAATGGGCATGGCAATGCACAACTTTAAGGACCACCTGCTCCCTTGTTCCTCGGCCCATCGCTTCCGATGGTCGGAGTTCAGTATGGCTCCCCATTCCGGCAGTGGTTCAGAAAAAAAGAGACAACGGGTAACGGGAGATGTTAGATCCAGTCGCTGTTGCTTGAAAGTTGGCAAATGGGTGTCAGAGTTGTACGATTGCGAATTGGACATATATTTTCCCATTCAAAATGGTGATTTTCCATGGCTATGTTAAATAACCAGATGGTATATCCCGCAGATTGTCAAGTAGAGGTGGATGAAACTGGAGGATTTGGGGATCCCGCTAGATAGTATGGATAGTGGTTCTTTGTTCAAGCACAAACTTTCATGGAAATTCTCCTACTGACCCAGACGGGAAGGTCACGCTGTTGGCAGCAACTGAGCTGACACAGCTTGCTGAAAAAAAAAAAACACTTAGTTCGATGATTTTCCAATGCCCATATTACCGGAGGGTAGCCAAGGCTGTTCCTATGAGCCTCAGAAAGAAACTTGATACCAACTGCAGACACTATATAACAGACACTTCTGAACCACGTTGCCGGAGTTTGCCGGACCCTTCGTGAAGGGAAATAAACCGTGTTTAGCCCTCTGCGTCCCAAACCCAAGGCTACCGCATGACACCTGCCTACCATGGCTGCCATGGCCACGGCCAAAGAAGTTCCAGCATCGAGAATGGCTCGCAAATACGAATCGACTGGCAAGTTTGGTCAGTTCCAAGTGGGTGGAAATTGGGTTCCCAACATTGGAGGTTTGGCCGGCTTGGTCGCGACAATTACCTACAGCAGGGTGTCTGCAGTCCAAAAAACCTGCGGCTTTAGCCATTGGAAGTCCAGCGACTCTGCGACAGCAGAGGCATCCGATCGTTTTTTTGAAATGAGGATATCGCCAGAAAGCTCTGGAAATATCTGGAAATCACCCAGCAAAAACCGAAGGGATGCCTCTGGCAAGGACTTCATCGCCACGGTGTCGCACTCATCCCTAAATGATGGACACCTGCCGTGGATCCAAAGTGGCCTGGCCAAAATAATCTCCATTTCTCTGGATAGATTACAATACATAATGATTCACTAACCTGAAATAAGTGAATTGATGCCATTTGGGCATGATCCTCTTCACCCACCACCATGACGTCGTCGCGACGTGAGATCGTTATAATTTATCATGATGTATCCATTCATGGATGATTTTCACGATGGCCCTCTTGGCAGCTGACCCATGTTCAAGCCTGAACCTAGGCCTTGAGATTTGAATCTTTACTATCTCATGTTCGATCATGGTACTGGCAACAGATGTATAAATTCCCAGACATGGATCCAAAAACAATCACTGATAAAGTTCTGAAATGGGTTGCTTGAAATCCTCAGATATAGAGACTGGGCATCTTTGGTGGGGGCGAATCATGAGAAATTCACTCATCTTCCAGTAAAATTGAGACCTCTAAGACCAAGTTCTTGCCGTGCGACATTGGGAGAGAGCCTTCAGAAATGGGGTGACATTTGGTTCAGTGGTTCCCCAGCTATATCTCTTCTGCCACAAGACTTGTTGTTGCATGTTGCAAACTTCGAAAACCTGCCACCCTGCAGCCCCTATTGAATCTCTCCTGGCCTGCAATGATGCTATGGCTCTGCACAACCTGAGGAAGCGCTGGTAGTTTCTGGGTCCGCTGAATGAGTTAGGGGTTCAACCACTAGTGCAAAAAACGACTAAGAGGGTGATATCATCGCAGCTAAAGTGTGAAACTTCTGCGGGTTGCATCAACTAAGAAGTAGTTCCTTCACTTCAGCCTGTGGTGTAATCAAACATCCCAGCAACAGTTCGATGATTTTCCCAGCTACAAACCCCCAGTCATCCAGAAGCCTCCATTTATAGATGGATGTTTTCCCAAAAAAAACATCATAAAGCGGATTTTTCCCCTTTTGCCCAGTTATAGATGGATTGTTTCCCATAAATTCCCCATTTCCTCTGGGCATTTCCTACCCAAAAAAAAACTCCATGGCGGCCGCCTTCGTCATGAGATCGTACAGTTGCAGCCCTTCTGGGCACGGTCCCCCCAGAGGTCGTTGACCTCATGGACCTGACATAAAAATCCACATTTGGGTGCCGGGTTTCACATATCATTAGATATCATCATATGTCATCCTAAACAGGTATATATACATGACTACATATATATATATTATGTTGTATTACATGTATTTATGTATGCATGTATGCATGTATGCATGTATGCATGTATGCATGTATGCATGTATGCATGCATGCATGTATGCATGTATGCATGTATGCATGTATGCATGTATGCATGTATGTATGGATGGATGGATGCATGGATGCATGTATGCATGTATGCATGTATGCATGTATGCATGCATGCATGTATGCATGTATGCATGTATGCATGTATGCATGTATGCATATATGCATGTATGCATGTATGCATGTATGCATGTATGCATGTATGCATGTATGCATGTATGCATGTATGCATGTATGCATGTATGCATGTATGCATGTATGCATGTATGCATGTATGCATGTATTGCATGTATGCATGTATGCATGTATGCATGTATGCATGTATGCATGTATGCATGTATGCATGTATGCATGTATGCATGTATGCATGTATGCATGTATGTATGCATGCATGCATGTATGTATGTATTTATGTGTGTATGTATGTATATTGTATATTGTATATTGTATATCACTAGGTGCCAGATGGTGTTTGAATGTTGTACCCAATCTGATAGTTTGCAGAAGTCATGGAAATTCTAGATAGAATTCCAATTTACATGATTGCATGAAGGCCAATAAAGCAAAATTTTACAAGATCTGTCCAGCCAGTGGGTATGGCTCAGAAATCGGGCATTGCTGGAACCGCAAACTTTATATACTTACCAAATTCAATTCTGCAATATCCATTTGCGGGGGTTGATTATGTATGGATTAGATGGATGGATGGATGGATAGATGAATACGACAAGACAGGATAGAACAGAATAGAACAGATTAGATAGGTCGATAGATAGCTAGATAACTAGATAGGTAGATGGGTAGATAGCTAGATAGCTAGATAGCTAGATAGCTATCTATCCGGGTAAATGGATAGATCGGTAGATAGGTAGATGGGTAGATAGGTCGACAGGTAGATCAGATAGATAGGTAGGTAGATAGATAGACAGACAGATAGATAGATAGCTAGCTAAAGAGGTAGAGAGGTATATAGGTAGATAGGTAGGAAGGTAGGTAGATAGATAGACAGACAGACAGACAGATAGGTAGATAGATAGATAGATAGCTAGAGAGGTAGAGAGGTAGGTAGATAGGTACATAGGTACATAGGTACATAGGTGGATAGGTGGGTAGATACTTACTTAAATAGATAGATAGAATGATAGACAGATAGACAGACAGATAGACAGAGAGGCAGAGAGGCAGAGAGGCAGAGAGGCAACAAAGACAACAAAATAGATACTGCATCTACTGTATCCATTTAAGCTCCCCAGTCATCTTGATCCCCATTGAGGGCCTCCGAGAGCTTCTGCCCCTTTCTTGAAAAAACATGCTTAGCAGATCTTAACAATAGACCTGAAATCATTATCACCATTGTGCATTTGTGTGCTCCACAAACCAAGTATCCCTTGCCCGTCTCCTTTAGGTCCTCGGTTTTCCCACAAACTTCGGGACACCGATTTTTTTTGCTGCGCTCTTTGCTTCCGCGTCTTTCGGCCGCAGACCGTTGGCCGCAACCAATGAATGACAGTTCGCAGGGTGGAGTCACCCGGTTTCCCAGATCTGGATCAGTTGGATCTAAAACATTCAAATCTTGGCTGTCCGTGTGGCTCAAATCTTGGCTGTATCGTTTTGAGACCCCCAAAACTGTCGAGTAAAACTGTGACCAGTCTATCGGTCCATGGGTCTTCGATACTCGCTCGGTCGCTCGGGCCCAGGGCATGTGTTTGGTTTTAAAAGAATAGATCCAACCAAACAATAGAAAACACCTAAGCGTTGAAGCAGATGCCCGTACCCTTAAAAAAACATTTAAAAAAAACTCCTTTCTGGGGGTTTTAGTGGTTTTAGTCGGCAGAGTAGGTCACCAGTCCTGGGAACCTGGTGCCCCATCGCCACGTTTGTTTGTGGACGAATCTACACCAAGCCGCAGGCCCTCCGCAAACCAACCCGCAATCATCCCAGCCATGGGCTCCAGCCGGGTCACTTCATGATCCTCAACCCAGATACTAAAACATCGTTATCTATCAAAACCCATCAAAACCCATCAAAACCCATCAAAACCCATCAAACAACCAAACCCATCAACATATCTACTGACTGTATCAACAAAACCCAGATAACCTCTTGTCATATCTATCAACATCCATCAACATGGCTCGTAGCCACTCATTTACGATCCGACAGGTTGGCTGCGACGGGGCCAATAGGCTTCAACATCCAAGCTCTACCACAGTTGTTTCGTCACATGATCCATTTCCCCTGAGATATTGAATGATCTTGATATATTATCTATATATATATATATATCATCTTTAAAATATGAGCTTCCTGAACAGCTGGGATCTTTGGGTGGGATGATCTCCATTCTCCCCTTTTGGCCCAGGCAATGTGAAGCCCTTCTCCAAGTACAGACTTGTCTGTTGCGAAGGGGGCCTCTCCAACGAAAATACTGATCATATCTGGGTAAATTATAATATTTCACTAACCTGAATTAAGGCCATTTGGGGATGATTCCCCTTATTAACCATGATTCCAGTGAGGTCGCAGTGAGGTCGTTATAATTTACCCAGATCATATGTGATCGTATGACATACACGGTACATACAGATCAAACTACAGAAGCCCTTTAGTAGACCACTTCATCCACAATTCGGCATGAAATCAATGGGATCAGAGGCTGGATGGAGCTTGGGAACAAAATCTGATGACCCTGCAGTTTTGCACAGGAAGTCCTGCAAAGTGCTGGATGTTTCTAACTTCCTTTGTCACATCACCAGAGAAAATGTCGCAGTCCGTACGGCAAGTTTCGACTCATTGACAAAGGGTGGTGGAGAAAGAACTAAGATCCCAGGCTGTTGTTGTTCCCTTTGTTATCTCAGCACCATGTTGCGACAAAGAAATCAGAAACACCCCTGTTGACTGCCAAACGGCAAGAGTTTCGAAACTCGATGTCAAGGCTGCGTATTTTGAAGCGCTTGGCGGATGTCCCGCCCCACGAGGATAGCGCAATATGATCCCCACCAGAATCAAATCTTGTCCAATGGCACAAGAGACTGGGAGCCACTCCAGACTTGATATTTGCTGCAACACATCCCTGACGTATAATGCACCGACTCTTTCGAAGACAAACTATTTGAAGACCTAACCCGGCCCATGCAAAATTGAACCAATCCCTCATGCCCTGTCTGACCACCTGCAATACGCAGCTTGACCGGCACCTGTGCGACCAGGCCGGCAGGATCTGAAAAATCACAGCCAGATCTGCCAAATACTTGGGACTTGGGACCTCAAAATGCACTAAAGTTGTCTTGATAAAAAAATACTTCATAGATCTTCATAGGGGACACGGCATGTTTGGACACATCCATGTGTTTTTTTCAAAGCTGCCATGTGACCGATCATATTGGGTTTCGTGGGTGAAGTTGGGGTGTCATGTCATTCAAGAAAAACGGGCAGAGGAAAATTGTACAAGTGGTAGATTTACCCAAGGATCGCTACACGAGGACCGTCAAGATCAAATCACAAGATCTCTCCCCACAATAGGAAGCTCTGGAGGATCCCACAAGGATTTCCTGATCTTCAGAGGATCCCTACCAGACATCTTATGCGAGACCCTGGGGCACAAATGCGAACCCTCAATCACCTTCCCTAAAAATGTCTTGTTCAGTAGGGTTTGTTTGAAAAATATTGAACCCCCAAGATTTGATCGTTTAGGAGTTCATCCTTTTCAGAATAAAACATTATATAACATTGATAGCATTGGAGGTTTTTCTACGTCATGTTTTAACAATACCCCCAAATGGCCATCGAGCCATCGCCATGTGTTGATGGGCACCTCTTAAATGACCCGCTCGCTGCGCCGTCGTCGCGGGGCGTTGGGAAGCAACAACGCCTCCCCCTGCGGCGATGGGAAAATTTGAATCCCCAGATGATCATCAACCATGAAACTGGGAGTACGAAACCAAGAATTGTGGATTCTTACCTCCAAAAATTATGGGAATGGATTGCTATGGGCTAGAACATCCTTTCCCCCTCTGAAATGGCAAACTATGTCCCTATCTGGGATAAAGGTCCAATTTTGGGCCAACCCAGGGGTAACTTTTGAATTCCACCTGACTCTACGCAAACACCAAGACCGGTCTCGGAAAGTTGCTATGCTCGTTACCAGTAGGTCTACATATGTCTACATGGTTTATTCATGTTTATTCGTGTTTCATTTGCAAATGCTAGAGATACATACCCATAGGATCCATGTATGCTATATATGGTAACATTTACCGTCAATATACCCCAAATGTTAGCATATATACCATACATGGATCCTATGGGATATAGATATAGAGCTTCCGAATACTCCAACAGTTGAGTTCCAATGGATGCAATACCTGCAGTGGTCATCATCTGGGTATCTCAGACATTCCTTGCCTGCCGCCGCAGCCGCCGCGACCTGGGGATCCGGGAACAGCTGGGAGTTGAAAAAATGGATGGCTTTTAGTGTCCAAATCTTGACCCTAAACCCTTCAGTGCCCTACAGAGAATTCCCCATATCCTTGAATTCATCATCACAGATTCATTTTGGATGTTTTGGATTGTGATGATGATGCATCATCTACAGTTAAAAAGGTCACCAAGTCAGACTGGCCCCCGCTCTTCACCAAGTCACACGAAGGTTTTGAGACCCAAAGACAAGGCTGCAGAGGCCTCAGGAAAGGGATGGATGCGGACCCGATCGGATGATCCAAGGTGCCAGTGATGGAAAATCCATTGATCAATGGCCATGACTCAGGAACCGATAAAAATTGGAGGTACCTACCATATATAAGGCCTATGTAAGGCCCA